TTATATATTTGTATTTAAGGCAATCTGCAATTCCACCACATATAGCTCCATTCAATATCGTTATATTATTTTGTAAAACAATGCTTTCCCCCTTTCAAACAGTGGGACAAATTCTTGTTTGCAGAATTTGCAGGTGAGTGATATTTAATAAACTGATTCAGAGGAGGAGTGAGGACTATACCGGCATGCAACGCGGTCAGGGGCGGTTTTTTACATATTATCGATTTCTCGCTCTGCGCCGTCATTGTTCGGTCGGCTTTCGCTGTGTTTGCACCTCGAGGTTTCAAAAAATTTATCGAAAAAAAATTGTAAAATGGTGGATTTTTGCACTATGCATGGAAAGAAAGCTTCGTTTTTGGGTGGACACGAGCTTCTGTGCGTTCACTGTGTGTCAAAACAACCTTTAATCTTGATTCCGGAAGAATTACCGTGTGATGAACTTGAATGTCGTGAGGACGTGAGGTTCATGTTTATAGTTTTTAATACAGATAGTTCGAAGAATAGTCCTTTGTCCAGCTGTGGTTAACGAGATAAAAATTGATGAAATGTTCGCTGATTGCGGTAGTCCTCCACTGGTACAAATTCACTCTAGTTGTGTTTTTAAGGTGAGATGATTTTTATATAAAAATAGACGAGAAAATAGAAATATAAAAATGCTCCTATGTTGTATAAATACAGCAGTATTAAACGTATTTTTATTTCATATCATGTAGTTCTTCGACCCTAATGATCTACGGGAAGGAGATATAAACAAAGAATATAGCAATGTTATGTTGTGGGAGTTTGACATTTCAACATCACCAACATCCCAAGCAATCCCACCATGTGACCCAGATAGTCAAGATGATGAGCTGGACAGTGTACTTCCACCAATATAATTACATCAGCCAACTGATTGTAACTGTTTTAATTTACCAATAAATCCTGTTTGCCCTGACAGACATTCATACACACTGAATGATGGAAGAAGCGCCCAGTGGTAGCATTGTTGTAAAGAATGAAATGGAGGAAATTCAACACTATCGCAACACTATATATAAATGTATTGACTACTGTGTGATGCATTGCAAGGATTTATACTGATCAACCAATTATCTATGCTCAAATGATCAACCAGTTGTCTATTATTTTACTCTGCCTAACGCCAGATTATTTTACTGTCTAACACTATTTACTCATCAGGGGGAGAGTGCTGACACTCAATGGGTTAAAAAACATTGAAAGAAAATGTTTAGCAGAAGCTGAAAAATTGTTTATGGTGTCTGGTGTAATACTGATATTTCTTTTATTTGTAAGGATAGAGCTGGGGAGCTTCTAATGGTACAGTCTTGGCCCTACCCCAGTTTTCCTGTACTGCATGTGTTTTTGTCACTTCCCTGATTATACCATAAGTATTGTATCCCATGGACACCATCTTATCAGTTCTGCAGTTTTTTGACAATCTACCGTAAACCTCCACCTAAAAGCACTGGGCTTATATTCTTTCATAAGCAATTTTTGATGGGCTTACACAAGGGGGGGGGGCTTATACACTGGGAGGGGGGCTTATATTCAGAGGTTTATGGTATGTATGGTTTTCATGATTTTCAGTGTATAGTCTTCCCTTGCTCATCACAAATTAATAAAAAGATCACACACTACATAATTGATGTTGATAAAATTTATTTATTTTAAAATCGAAAAAATATTAACATAATATTGCTGTACTTAAAGATAATTAAAATGTTTTTAAAAATAAAATTTTATGCACACAATTTTAAAATATTGCACACATTCATTTCACCAGTACACATGGATGCTATATGATAGAGTATATGAAAGGTGATGCTTTTGCTCTAGCTTAATGATGTATTAAAACAATCTAGAGGTATTACATAATTGGTAAACCTCTTCAATCGTAATGATTTGCATGATTTTCTGCAACAGATATGAATTCAATGAATGCTTTATCTTCCTCAAGTGTCCATTTATGAAGTTTAACTGGAGGAGTCGTTTAATCTTTCTGATAAGAAACTACAAAACAAACAGCAAAAGTGAGAGGGGCAATGTTAGTGCCAGCACAATTAGACAACAACAAAGAAACTCATGGATTTTTACCAGGATTGTGTGCATGCTTCTCCAGGAAATTTGTGTACTATAGGTTTTCTGGAATGCCCAGCATTGAAAAATAATGTTGGCGTATGGGTGGATAGAAATTGCCCAACATTGTCATGAGTTTGTGAACAAGAGGTATAAAATAGAAGGAATACATCTCCTATACAGACTAGCAGAAATACTGTTTAAAGTCAATCTTAAAACAATTGCCCAATTTTTAAAGCAGAATTCTGCCCAACTAAACACTGACTGGAGGGGTTGCAACCCCCCCCCCAGCCTCATATGCCTATGGACAGAAATTCTCCCAGGCAAAAAAGCATTAAAATACAATGTTACTATCACTATGATAATGACTCAAGCACCCATTATTAACATATTGTTTCATTAAAAATATATAATGTTTTTGTGTAATCATACTGTATTTTTAATATGTTTGTAAAAACATTTGTACTTTTAAATACACCTTGGCTTTGGACTCTGAAACAAAATTCGGCTTGATGTTGAATTTTTCAAACGATAAATTTTGTGTCTTTTACTATTAGGTTTCCCTCGGGGAAATATGTACGAACATATATGCGTATGTTTCAAAATTATCATGGAAAATAGTGGTTATAGTATAATAATTTCCTTCGCGCCATGATGATTATCAGGCGGTCTATTCCCGCCATCGGCGATAGAATATAGCAAAAGTACCCCATTTTCAAGCCGCGATTACACGTCGGTTTAGTGGAGCAAATTCATGTTTTAAAGTAACAGTAGAAAGAATAAATCTTCCCGAATTCGATGACGTGTTTTGTTTTTATTTTCCTAAAAAAAAAGTGAATTTGCTTCTGCATTATATCAAGGTCATTTTATTGGCGTGTCCACTGACCCGGAACAAGCATAATTACAATACGTAATTAACATAACTAAAAAGCAATTCCTGTACCAAACAAGTCAAAAATAGTTTAATTAGGTTCTTAAATAATACAAATATAAAAACATACCTTCGAAAAAACGAGATATACGAAGCCAAAATCGCAATGTATTTCAGCAACTTTTCGCCAAACGTTTGTTGAAAATCGTAATTGTGAATAATAATCAGACGCAATGCATTGTGGGAAGACCCTCATTCCTCCTCTGGTATTATAGTATGTCGTGCACTTTTTACATGAGCCTCCGGCTCGGATGATTGGGTAACCGCATCCTGTGTATACGACTCTAAATAAATCATTACATTACAGTGTCAACTTCATTTGAATTTCATGCCATAACCTATGATGAGCTAATAAAAGTGGTTAAGAACCTCAAAACTAACAAGTCACCAGGTCTTGATAACGTACCTACAAAATTGGTCAAGGAAGCTGGCGACAGCATAATACCATCCCTATAAATCATCTATTCAACCTATCGTTAAGTACTGGAATTTTTCCAGAAGATTGGAAAGTCGCCAAGGTTACCCCTATCTATAAATCCGGTGAAAAATCAGACTGTGGAAACTATCGACCTATTTCAGTAATTTCAACAATTGCAAAGATTTTCGAGAAAATTGTCTATACACAAATACTTGATTATTTAAACGAAAACTGTATCATATCACCAAACCAGTCAGGGTTTCGATCACTCCATTCAACTGAAACTGCACTACTGAGCTTAACAAATGAATGGTTAATAAACATGGACCAAGGTCTCATTAATGGTGTACTATTCTTAGACCTAAAAAAAGCATTCGATACGGTGGACCACAATATTCTTTTATCTAAATTGACAGCTTATGGAATAAAGGGTACAGAACACAAATGGTTTCAGTCATATTTAAGGAAGAGGCAGCAAATATGTAAAATTAACAAAAAAATGTCGGATATAAGAACAATTACCTGCGGAGTTCCTCAAGGGACAAATCTAGGGCCGTTGCTATTTCTCCTTTATATAAATGATCTGCCAAATTGCCTTGTAACAACAAGCGCCACAATGTTTGCGGATGATACAAGCCTATCATGTAACGGGCTATCATCCGCAGATATAGAGAGTAAACTGAATCACGATTTAGAAATAATTCACACATGGTTAACCGCAAACAAGCTGACTTTAAACCGTAAAAAAACTGAATACATGATTACTGGCTCACGACAAAAATTAAATTCTACTGGCACAAATACTACAAACATATCAATCGCAGGCAAGCAAATAAGACGAGTTGAAAGCACAAAATCCTTAGGCATAATTATAGATGAACAATTAAAATGGGAAGAACATAACAGTAAACAATGTAAAACAATTTCAGCACGTATCGGAATGTTAAGAAGAGCTAGAGATTTTGTTACACAAGATGTTTTAATTACAATGTATAATTCACTTGTATTTCCTCACTTTACCTACTGCTCAACTGTGTGGCATGGTTTTCGCGCTGATCACATTAATAAATTATATAAGTTACAGAAAAAGGCTGCTCGTGTAATAACAGGATCCAGTTACGACATACGATCAACTAACATTTTTGAAACCTTAAACTGGAGACCTATAAAAGACAACTTAGACGAGCGCGACCTTGTAATGATATTTAAGGCCCTTAAAGGTCTAATGCCCGACTACCTAAAGCAGACAATTAACTTGAACGAAAACGGCAACTATCAATTACGTAGCAACAATAGAAATATTTACCTACCTAAGCCAAAGACAAATTTTCTAAAAAATAGCTTTCCCTATCGAGGAGCTATGAGTTGGAATAACCTACCTAATCATATTATTGTCAAGCATTAATAGAAGATGTCTCTGTCAACTCCTTTAAGAATGTTATAAAACGTATGTCCTAATCCATTGGTCCTAATCTATAGTGTAATTAATTGCATCCATGTAAATAGTTTATGTAAATGGCCTGTTTTCTCGCTTTTAGATTTCCTTTTTTTTTCTCTCCAATTATGTAAATATTTTAATGAACTCACGGCCCTTTGAAAAACAGATGTACTTCTGAAAGGCTACCGTGATTAAATAAGATTAAATAATAATAATAATAATTTTTCCATGGGAATACAGCAATGATTGGGATTCAAACCAGGTTTTCCGATTAGTTCCGACTGTTTTACATCACTCTGCAGCAAAAAGTGAGGAGTTTTGCTTTTGTATTTTGAAAAAATGACGAAAGTTAGGACGTGCCGAAGGAAACCTCGCTCTTCAACTCAAAAAAATATTATAATAATAAAACATTTTGACAGTCCCAAACCTTATGTTGTACTAAACCCCAGGTATTGTTATTGATCCTGAGCTTCTAGTCCTTGTCTTATTCCTTCTAAAACATAAATAAATGCCTTTTTCAAGTGATGTTGTTTTCGTCATCGCATCTTGTTGGCCACTATGAATATTGCAATATTTTGTCAATTTTTAAATATTTTCTTTTCGACCCTAAAACGTTCAATCCGGCTTGAAACTTCGCATATAGATGTATTTTACAAGGGTCTAAATAATTCCTGAGGTATGACGTCTTAGTTTTATCTTAAACTTTCAAAAACTCAGAAAAAGCAGCCTAAAATGCGCGGTTTTTCTGACCCTTCATGGAATGGTCGTGTTTTTTCGTATTTTTGGCCAATTCGTGATTTGTTTGCTTTGCGAATATTAAATTCGTTTATTATACCATGGATTGTAAAATAACTGTAAAATTTATTATCCATGATGATACTACTATATGATATGATACTGATATAATTTATGTAATATTTTGGGGCAAGATTTTTCTGATAAAAAAATTTGCATATTTTGAAAAAAAAATTAAAAAAGGACTGGGTCTACCTACAAAAAAGTTTCAAGCACGGCTTCAACTCCCCCCC